GTTAATTATTGAGTGCAAAGAAATGAAATTTACAATTACCTCACGTTATACACTAATTTTTCTTCTTCTACGTCCATAGGATAAAAAAAATGATTCTTTTTCGAAACAGTTTTTCGTAAATAACTCCACAATAGTTGGATGCACAAATTTTTACTTACCATAGACAAACACAACGTCATCTGTTAAACTTAAATAATGAAAAGTTCAAAAACTTTTTCCGCTGGGAAAACGCACACCCTTTTCTTTGACACACCCATTTTCTCTTGTACCCTGCCACTCCCATACCTAACACTTCGCCAGCTTTTCCTCATCTTTCTTAGCCAATAGCCGATTCTACAACTTCATTCTTCCTAATAGACAGGTTTTCGTCTAGTAGAGCAATCGGGTATTCCTAAATTAAATCGAAATTATGGTTACCCTACTCAAACTGACTTGACTGCACGAATGGCGTAGTGGTTTAAGCGGTCGCCACGCTGCTCACTACTACGCTGAGTGTTGTGGGTCCGATCCCCATGTTTGACGAAACTGTGTGATCCAAAAAATGTTGTTCTGAGTCTGGGTGCTCTTTGTGTCCGTTTCATGCATGTTTGTAAAGTCTCCCCTGACACAGGATATATCCCTTGCAGGTGTTGTCTTTTAAAAATATATAAATAAACATGGTATGAGATAACATTATTTTTGAGATTGCACGCGTTGAAAACTGTTTTGAGGGTAAAACGATGTGTCATTCTAATGAGATTAATACGTCAAATAAATGGATGTTCACAAAATCCTAAACACAGTGATATCAGGCTACAAAGTAACGTTTAAAGATTTTGACAAAGGGTATAGCCGTATTACTATGGGAAATCTGCCCCCCCGCGGGATCGATTTGGTGTCAAATAAAATAATGCAACTAAATTTTTAGCTCTCACTCAAACGGTTTTCAAGTTTTTTTCTATTTTCTGTTTTATTTTTCCTAATTCTTAGATTTCCTAACTCCAAGACATGAAAAAAATTTATGATTATGATTTTTAAACGAAAACCCAATTTATAGCAGATTGTATTTTTGGGAAAAAAAAACTACGCCAAGAATTTATCGAAATTTAACTAAATCTCGTTTTGACTAACTTATATTTTTTTTAGTTTAAGAAAATGCAAGTTAGTTAAATTTCGATAAATTCTTGGCGTAGTTTTTTTTCGGTTTCGATAATGCGGCGAAGCATCTCACGTGTGATGATGATTTCATAGTGGCCCACATATGCTCCATATACTGTGAACGCGTTAAAAAATAAGACCAGCAGAGTAGATATTACGTTTTTCTAGTTTCTAGGACTACGATAGGTAGAGCTGGGGGTTTTTCAACATAATTTTATTTTCAAAGTTGTCTATCCAAAAAGCCCAGGATAACCGCAACTAATGTGAAATGACGCAAAGGATTATGGGTTCCTCTTTTTAAGCATATACCTATTTATAGCAATTTCTGTAAGAGCTTTATACCGCGTATTTTTACGACTTAGTAGTCGTAGTCAAGTGTCTTAGATTCGACGGTTAAAACGCATGTTTTATTTGCTGAGATTGAGGCAGACCTTCGCCCTGCCTTAATAGATAATTACTATCACCCTTCTGCTTGTCTAGGCGTGTTAGGCCTGTAGTGCTAGCGAGTCGCCACACGAAATACGCCACGCCCATTGCTTTGCTTGTGGGCTGTATTATCCCATCCAGAGCATGACGTAAGACGAGAGTTCAAGTCCTTTGCTTTACTTTCTGCCACCTCTTTGGTGTGTATGACCATGTCGTACAAAGCAGCGCAAACAAAAACTTACGCTCCCTTATTCGAGTGCAATATGGTCAGCTATTAAAAAAAAAGCACGATTCCACATAGGTGCTTTCGGAAGAGATTAGGCGTCACAAAACAAATAAAAACGGAAAACAGAACCATAACTTAATTTAAACATTTAAATAAATTTAAACAAAATGGGAAAAAATATCACCCATTTCAAGTGACCAGTTTATTCAGCAAATCCAAATAGAAATTTTACATGGTAAAATAAATGGACAATTTCGTTAGTATGAGAAATGTATACGATGACTTCATCTTTTGTACAGACAATAATAAATTCAATAAAACAATACATACATAGCCGTCCCAGGGTTCCGACAGACCGTAGATTAACTGATCACATTGTTGACAAGTAGCAAATAGCCTAATATGATCAACAAAGCAATAAATATCGATTAGAATTAATGCGAGGCTATTAAATCGTACCCTAGGATTAAGCCTTAAAAAAGAAAAAATATTTTTACAACATTACTATTGATATGATACAAATAGGTAACAGCAATGGGTTTGGTGTAAGGACAACTTATTACATTAGGTTTAACATCTAACGAATGTCAATAATTGTTGATAACACCCCAGACATTCAAACAACAACCTCATAAAACATTACCATGTTTATAGTTAACAGTGACAACACGCGCTCTCATTTTACGCGTCTCGTATATTTTTCTAGTTTCAATTATGTGATTTTTTTTATAAACATTTCAAATGACAATATCGTTGTTTTATTTTTCAAATAATCGATTGCTGAGAAAAACAAGTTTTTATTAATTAAGGTTGGTGTCAACAAGGACAAATGGAATAAAAACTAACTTTTACTCGCTGCAACGTTTACATATTATTATACCTATAATGTATATTGTTATAAAAGTCTACACGATTTACGTAACTATTACGAAACATACGAAAATATTCGTTTATATTGTAGCCGATAACATGTCCCTGTGATTATTACGAGATAAAGTGGTGTTCTTAACTGTCTGCAACAAATATAAATTTTAAACTATCTTATATTCTATTTTCTATTTTTTGTATTTATATATAATATCTACCTATAATAACTTCAATCTTATTAATGTATTGCTAAAGTTCACTTTCTGCATTCGTATATTGTAAGGTTCCAACTAAATTAGTTGGTATAAGTATATATCATTTCTTGCACCTATGTACTTTATCTAAAAATTAAAACAACGATTAGGTACAAAAAATCTCGTATCGAGATTTTTTCTTCTATATAATAAATGTAATAATTTCTTTGATGAATATACATTTCAATTGGTTTTAAAATCTGTTTTTTTTTTCTATTTATAGTACTATAAACGAAGCTGTGTATTTATATTCTATTATTATCGATGAGCAGATTACAATGTTTGGTGTTCATTAAATAGGAATACTCAGTAAAAATTAGCTTTTTTAAAAAGTTTATTTACATAACATACATAGAACTGACAAGTGTAGCTATAAGTAATAGAAACTCAGTAGCGGAGACAGTAAAGTTTAAATGAAACATAACATGCAAAGGACGGTGTGTGAAGGGTGTGAGGGTCAGCAAAGCGGGGTTGCGGTTAATCTGCCGCAGCTGCTGACTGCACGCATCATGCCGTCCGAACCAAATTCACCAAGGATTTGAGACAAATATCACTGCTAACTGAGTCACTGCTAATTAAACTAAAACTAAATAAAAAATATTTATTAAATCAAAAGTCACATTGTATAAGAAGTATAGTTTTAACTTGGAGCTTTTGATAAATCATAAAGAAGAAATTATTAACTTATAGAATATTAAAAATAAGCCTAAATAAATGATATCCATGGCTTGAAGTGAAATCATGTAATTAAACATTTAAAATAAAATATATCAGTATATGAAGTAATTCAATACCTATTTTCCAAATTTACTCAAGGTATTCCAATCAGTCGAAATTATTCTAATATTATAACAAGTATAATGGTTGCAAAAATATTTATTACAATAGCTGTAAAATCAATGTTTTTAAAGGTTACTTTTTGTTGTGTACAAATTGTGTTAACTATCCTTTTGAACGGAAATATACGATTTAATCTATGCCTAAAACTATGAATTGTGTTATCACAAATATATATACTTTTATAGTATGTATCCCTTTCTTATATTTTGCTCCAAGTATTATTGTATAATGTTTACAAACATGTGTCTGTTCAATTCTAACAAAAAAGAAAACAGAGGTCATCGAAAAAAGTTAAAAATTAACGTCCAAAAGGTTTATGTAACACTTCAGAACCAGAATAGACAGTTAAATTATCATTTTATTTAGTTTCTGTAAAGCCCAGTGACAAACAATATTGAAATCAATGACATATTCTCTGTTGACAAGATTAGCTGTTGAGATTATTAGACAATTACCTGAAATCCATTTAAATACTTGAAACCTGCGTTTTAAGTTCGTTGATGCAAGTTGATATTCCTATTCCTCAAGATAGTCTCGACGCAACGGGCTTATACTTTTTTGCCTCAATATAAGGATTGGGAAAGTCTACTACATTAGATTAGATCATAAAAATATCATTTTAAAAAATTATCTTCGAATTAGGACAAAAGCATTTAATGTCCTCTTGTAAAAATGTAATTGGAAATCATGTATATTTGTATCTCTAGAATTAAAAATAAACATAGTACAAAGAATAAAGAAAATAAATATAAATATGTCAATGCAAATCTTGTAAAACAGAGAATGAAGCAACCGACCTTTTTCTACGAAACTTTTTTATAGTATGAATAAAATAATCACTATAAACCAGACTACTTAATTCTGTGATTTCATAATCAATAAAACTATTTTAACCATAAAATAAGGATTATATTGTACCTCGGAAATTACATCAATAGCTCAATCAATGTGATGAATTTCCGAATTCGTTAAGGTACGATACCACTTTACGCATTGAAATTTCGAAGCAAATTTAAGACCTTGATAAATAACTATCGCATTAAAAAATATTATACAACTTTTTTCTAGCTTCTGTTAGGTTAAGCATTATCATAATAATAATATAATCTATGAGTTCCGTTTAGGATGATCTAATATATAAAAATATAGAAGACATTGAACGTAGGTGCTGTCTCGGGCGGTGTTGATGGCCCGGGCACGATCACCGACGCAAGCGGCGGCGGCGACGCGACCGCGGCGTAGGGCCCGCGTCAGTCCTCACTACAAGAGTCCTCATTGTCGGCCTCCTTAATGTTTGTGAAGAACGAGGTCAAGGCCTTCATCATCACACCTAGAAATATCGTAAAATCATTATAAGTTTTGCGTTTGAAATGTTAGGTTGATTTAGCACAATATTAATAATTACCTTTGCCTTCTGGCTCCTTATCCGATGCCTCCCACGCAAGAAAACCTTCTAGGGATATTATGTATTGTTCATGCAAATATTGGAATATTTCCAAGGTTAACCCTATAACAAAGTAAACAATAATATTTAGATCTGCATGAGGAATCTTCAGAAATATGTTTTTAAGTGCTGAAACAAAACTTGCCTTGTGGATGTTCTAGCCTATGTATTAGCTGTTGTATTCCAAATAAACAGCTTGCTTCTCTCGACTGTTTTGTCTCGCCAAAGTCGTGTATGAGACTAGCATACTTGTTCATGCGATCTTGATTAAAATGAGGCACATCATGTGTGTCAGGTCCAAAGAGTGCATGTTCGCAGATGGCTTGGATTAACGCTCGCATGAACCAATCCTCATTCGAAGACTTACCAAACTTATCCTAAAATAATATATTGTGTCAATAATTTAATCAAAAAGAGAATAGGGTAGTTTATCTTGGGATAACCTACCCTATTCTCTTTACTATACAAGCTTAAATTGTACTGATAGAGAAGTTCTTTAGAACAATTGGAAACATGAATAGTATAAAGAATGTTTGAGTTTACCTTTACCCATCCTTTTATGCAGTCACAGCTTTCATCAGTATTCATAAGTTGATTTAATTTATGTTGAGTCTGACTAGGCGACAATATTTTTTTCGCTTCCTCACACGTCTTAGAGTCTCCTTCCAAGAATTCAAACTTATTATCTTCTATCCATTTTGCCACCTGTTTAAATTTGTTAGATTAATACTTTTTTGTGCAATGTTGTTAATTAGTTCATTAACGTGACAGCATACAAAAGTAATTCTACTTTTGTCTATCTAAATGAGAAATATTTTAGGCTTTTTTATTTTAAATACATATAAGAAGGCATTATCTGGCCGAACAATATAATATGGAAAGGTAGCAGCATCTTTTTTCTTACTTTTAAGATGTTCAATTAAATTTAAGAAAATGTTTCTTCAAAAATTAAAAGCCAGACCAAAAATGTGGATCACATTTCTCATTTGATTAGTTGAGAGTATAGACTACATTTTGTAGTCAAGTGGGGAGGTGAGTAACAGGAAAGGCAAAGTATTCCACTATACAAGAGGGGTATGTTCTTATTGAAATAAATGGGGTAGTCCAAATTAAAGACCAGGTTTAGTTTAGAGTTTCATAACAAATGAATCTCTCTCCAATTCAATTAATAATTATGTGAAGTTACAAAAAGTACCTGTTTTTCATTCATCCATTGGCTGAACTGAAGCCCAGATTCTTGCCATTTGCTTTTCATGAAGGAAGGACCCATTGTTTCTTTTAATTCTTTAACAATAGCTTTTAACATAAGGTGTCCTTGATTAGCAGCAATAATGTTATCACAAAGTCTATAGAACTCTAGAAACGTGATACGCTGAAATCAATAATATGGGATTGTTATAATGAAGTTGGGTTTTCACTTTCACCTACTAGTAAATATCATTTATTTCAAATCATTCAAAAACTTAGTATGCTTAGTTACTGCACATACCTTCTTTTCTATTTGTGGTGTTATAAGCTTTCCTAAGTTGTCATATAACATTGGTATATCTATGTATAAATCTGGAGCACATTCTAGAATATTCTTTATTCCTGCTACAAAATTATCAATTGATATTGTGTTTGTAGAAACTAAGTAAAGCAATGACTTAGCTATCATTCCATACTCCTTTGCTCCCCTAAAAACAAAATTGACATATTTAGATTTTTTCGTTATATTGAAATATTGCAGTAGAGAAAACTAATGTATATGTATGTATTTTGCTCACTTTTCCATGGCAATCTCAAGTATTTCGCTTACTACATCCGCATGGTACTGAACTGGGAATAATTGCTTCACTTCAGCAACAATTTCATCATCATTCGGGTTAATAAGGCTGAGGTCTATCATTGACTTGACAGACTTCTTTTTCGCCTCTGGCAAAGGTTCCTGAGGAATGGGAGCGGGCGCGGGCATTGGCGCTGGTGGTTCGTTAGTGATCGGAGGCGTAGATGGTGCCGCACTCGTGCTACGTGTTCCTGAATTAGAGCGGGCCACACCTACAGACCCAGAGCGACTGCCACCACCGCTTGCTAAAATATTCAGTAAACCATTTTAGAAACACTATTAGCTAAAAATCATATACCAAAAATATTCTTCTGTTTACTTACTGAAATCACCTCTTGAGTTAAATGTAGACCTTTCTATAGAAGCACCCTTCGAGTGATAGCTAGGCGTCATGTCTCTGTTACCTGAAGTAGAGATAGAGTTAAATAATTGTGAATGAATTGTAGATCAAATTAATCAATTTGGACGATATACATACCTCTGAGTGTCGTAGGATCAGTTTGGGCATTTTCAAGCACACTATACATATTTTTAGAGAGGCTGATAGTCGAACTACTACTCACTTGGGAAGTGTTCTTAATACCTGAACCATGGTTCCATGACGAGTTGTGAGGAGCCAGCTTGATGTTAGTAAGGTTCTGAAAAAAATTCAGTGGTTTATTATACATGCACTAATTTATACAAAGAAATAAAATTGAAGTGTCTGTTTGTAATGTCAAAATTATAGGTTCTTTTCATGCTCGCATGGTTATTTGTATGATTGCCTACCTATACCTAAAACCAGTTTATTTTTTTGTCTGTCTGTCTGTTTGTTCCGGGTAATCTTCTAAACGGCATGACCGATTTCGATAATATTTTACTACCAGGCAGCTGTCTACATAAGGTATAACTTAGGCTATTTTCCTTTCAGAAAAACCCTTTAAAAAATTTTCCCGGTTAGGGCATCGAACCGAATTAGGCAGGACTTTTCAAATTTCACGCGAACGAAGTCGCGGCTACCAGCTAGTATTTATCTATGAGTCCAAAAAATATAATATACGAAATAATACATAAAACATAAAAGTTTACCTTAATAAAAATAACAAATAAAATTGATCAACATCTATACTAATATTATAAAGCTGAAGAGTTTGTTTGTTTGTTTGAACGCGCTAATCTCAGGAACTACTGGTCCGATTTGAAAAATTCTTTCAGTGTTAGATAGCCCATTTATCGAGGAAGGCTATAGGCTATATATCATCACACTAAGACCAATAGGAGCGGAGCACCAATGAAGAATGTTTCAAAAACGGAGAAAATTTATTACTATTGAGAGACGCAGACGAAGTTGCGCGGGTCAGCTAGTAGTACATAAAATGTATGGTAGGTAGGGTCGTGCGAGGTTTCTCAAATGTGGAACAGGATTATTTATGAAAATATTCCTAAAACCAATTTAATAATGCTAAAAAGTTTTTTGCTTGTCTTTCTTTAGCTCTGATAAGTGCCGGAATGTACAACTTTTCTTTGTGCCAATGATTTATTAATTGTTTAACATTTAGTCTTCAATTGTGGAGCAAATGGGCATTTAATATAAAAAAGACACTTTATAAGCTTGGCACTATTTATTTTGTTGTTGTTGTCTATTTATTTACTTTTTTTTGCAATCACTAAAACTCGCAGTATGCTCGCGTTACATATACACTGATAAGGAAACTTAAACACTAAATATAATATTAGACTTTTGTTATTCTGTTTGATATTAGGTGGCGATTCATCAGTTAATACGAGGTGTCCATTTGTTCTTACCTTTGAGTTTAGTGATATCGATTTTAATTCAAGATTAGGTTTGGTTGCAAATTAGTGCTTATAGCGAAAGGTTTTTTGATTAAATGTGATTCTTGGATATACCAGTGTTTTATTTAATATCAGTGGTGATCTTTGGTATTTTGGGATTTACCCTGGAAGCGATATGATACAGCGACCCTGACCTCGAGCAACTGTTTACATTCCCAATTTCCTTTTCTTACAATCTCAAAGTACCGACAGGCAATAGGTTTTTTTCCCTATTTTGTGATTGGGACCTAATTATAGTTTGGATAATGTAGGTTTATAAGGGTGCTGTTACACGATGCAAGTTGCTGGAGTGGACAAAAACGCGGGTTATTTGCGTCAGTAGCATGCGCGAGTTGCACGTTTGGTTCATATAATATGCATGCTGCTCGCGCGGGTTACATGCTCGAGTCGCTGGACCTGCATAGTCCTTTTCGCGAAGCAAATAACCTGCACAAAACTGCTCCGTTAAACCGGTGCCTGCGCAAGTAAACAGCGCGAGTGGCCCGCGCGCACAGCGACGCGTGCGGTGCAACTGCGCAGGTGGCTCTCGCTATTACATGTTCGAGTAGCTGGACCCGCATAGTCCTTTTCGCGAAGCAAATAACTACTTGCATCGTGTAGAAGCACGCTAATGTCACTCAATTTGAGGAATCAGGAGTGAGAATATGAACAAAAGTTATAGATCAAGGAAAACAGATAAGATAGTTTGTTATAACAACGCAATTAAATAAAGCGTAACTCTCGCAAGAAATATTAAATTTCATAAATATTTATGTTATTACGCGAAGCTATAATATAAAATTAACCTCACACATCTAACACAAAGCTATCTGATCCCAAACCAGACTGCTGATAAACATACTTATATATTTCTAAATGCATACATAACATACATAAATAACACCCAGACTCAGAACAACTGATTGTGCTCATCACATAATCATTTGATCTGGGTGGGCATCGAATCCATGACCTCTGGCTCAACATCCAGGATTACTAACCAACAGGTCTGTCAAAGCTAACTGTATAGCTTATACCATTAGGTAATGTGTTCTTTTTTACCTTTAAAAGATTTGAAAGCTAGATTTCAATAGAAATCATTATTTCAGATAATAAAAATTGATATTGTTTGCGTCCTATACCATACTATTAGGTGTACACAGTACACCAGTAACCACAAAATAAAAATAATCTACAATGCCAGTTGAATTGGTTAAGTGAATAAAAACTATTTTGGCCGTTGATTACCCAATTCCTTTAAAAAAGTAATGAACAGTTTTAATTTAAACTTATAATATAAAATAGAACAGAATTTATTCCTAGATCTGCAAATCCGTTTTTTTTAATGTTGTTTACAAAAATATAGTAAGTCTATATGTACGTACATTATTTGTTATTAATTTGAACAGTCCCTAAGTTTTTGCAAAATTAATTTAAATATTACTGAGGTCATATATATATGTGCGAAAATATTTTAACACAGTGTCAGTCATTCATGTTAATTCATAATGCAAAGATTTTAAAAGGATTTTCGCAATGTAGCTGAATCAGATGTGAGAAAAGCTGATCTGTTTCAAATAAATTTAATTTGTGCTTGAAATATATTAATTAATGCACTCACCTTTTGTGTAACTGACTTTAATTTTAAGGTATCTACAGGAGTTCTTGACGACGATTTCCAAGCGTTATCCATAAATGCATTGTTCGAATTTTGTCTACGATTATCGCCACCACGCTTTCCACGGCCACCTTCTTCTCGACCACGGTATCCTCCAATTGGGCATGCATTCATCAGCTAAAAAATATTAATATTAATACATTTATATACCATAACACAAATTTAATATTTTTAAATTTGATACTTGCCTCAATGTGACGTTGTTGCTGTTCAGCTTCTTTCTGAATCTGATCCATCATTTTCGGTTGAGAATCTATTACAGTCTTAGCAACCCATTTTCGTTTCCTCAGCTCAATTACATCTTGAAGCATAAACCTGAAAAAAATGTCATTTTTGTTATTTTCTCATCATTATACTGATAATTTCTACGAAATTTATACGACTTCATTTACCTGACACGACTGCTGATTTTATTAGATTTTCTGTCGTTAACTATTTCCTGCATTTTCTTGAAAATATTATCGATTTGGCTACTTCCCTCACTTTCCACTTGCTTACCAATTGTTGTAAGCAATTTACATAAGCACTCTAGCTTTTCTTCTTCTAATTTTTCTATTAGGTGCTTCATGCAATAATCCATTATTTTAGGTTTCAACATTTTCAACTTATATAGCTCACCTGTAACAAAAACAAATCAATTTGTAGTAGTTTAAAAACCAACTTACAAAGTAAACAGACTATAAAAAAGGGACAACTGCATTTCGCAAGAGAGCCACAATGCATTATCTTCACGTCACGTGCCTACGCAAGCCATTAAATATAATATATATATATGTATGTATAAATATGTATAATATTGTAAATGACCTTATTGGCCTGCTATATTTTATTGGAAATTGAACAATTGTGGATACAAGCATAATGGATTAAAATGCAAACATTTTAACACATTCGTAACATAATATTCGCAACAATAAAGAGATAAAGAATAATTTCGCGCATCGCTTATGCTTGGGCCAAAAAGCTATAAAGCACATTTTTAAAACTAAAATAATTTATTACTGAAAATTAAGATCAGTATTAGTGTTCAAATCTGTTTAAAATATATTAAATATTTATTTCAATATTTTAATTATTATAGTTATCTAATAAATCTTTATTACTTTAGTTTAAAATGTAAATGTGATTGACTTACCAATAAATCTAACATTGCCAACAGACCTCATTCTTGCTCTTCTATTTTCTTCATCTATCATCAATGCAATTTCTTTTTTCTTTGCCTGAAAAAAGTTAAAATACAAATATCAGCTGTTGTTGTCAAAAATCCAGTAAACTTTAAGGTGTTACCAATTTACGGACACACCACGACATAGTGCGTTGTGTCCAGAAAATTGTTGTACACTTTGAAACTGCAACAAAGTAACTCATTAAATGTGATTTTAATATTTTCTAAATTCTTTTTTTGTAACATGTGAATATGAATTCTCAATTTCAACCTCTAAATTACTTAAACACTTTTCTGTTTTACATTTAAATTAATACAAAGGTGAAAATTTTGTTTACATCTAAATTAGATGCATGAAGTACAAAAAAATTAAAATAACCAGATTAGTATATTTATCTAGTTGGTAAGAATTCTTCCTAGACTCGAACTTTCCCCTCACATTTAGGTAAGGCTTACAGTATCTCTCACACAAGAAAAAGTAATTCTTCATTTCGACCTATCTCTATTCTTCCCTTTCTATCTTAGTTGCTCAAGGCCTGTGTAAATAAGTCGCTTTCAAAATTTGTATACGGACAAACTGCTAAGTTCTCTACAGTCCGGTTTCAGGTCCGGTCACAGCACAGAAGGCCTAGTGTAAGTTTATTTCACTTCTTGGATTTGGATTGTCGATGGTGATGGTGATCATTGTAGGCAGCAAACATATGATGAGCAGATTGTATATATTGCTTCAAACTCCCGCTCTTCAAACTTTTAGAACCGTAAGTCAAGGACCTGGGTCTACTCATTGACTCAATTCTTGATTGGCGAGCTCAGGTTACTCATGCTAGTCAGAAAGTAATTGGCAACCTGTAAACACTATATCGCCTCAAGAATTTCCTGCTTCCAAAAACCGTTTTGGTTTTTGGAGGCAGTTTGGGTTCTCTCATGCTCATCTCCTCAATCATTTCTTTAATCGATTATGGTCATGTATGTTATTTTGACCTGAATGCTGACCTCCTTAATAGGCTAGACCGCCTTCTTAACTGCATTCGGTACAATTTCAAACTTCGCAAGTATGACCACGTGTCTGCATTATCCCAACTGAATTGGTTGCTCATTCGCGTGCGCAATCAGCGAGCTCCTACTTTTACCTACTTCCCTCCCACAATTCCGACTTTGTAACTCATCGTTCTTCGTTTGAAGTCAGGATGTCTACAAACAGTTGCGTACTTAAAAAGAAGGTAAATGACCTCCTTAATGAGATGGCAGACTCAACTAATTGACATTACACCAACCAATTTTCTTATATTCAAAATGTAAGTATGTTTAGTCACGGAACGCGTAGTGGTTTAAGCGGTCACCTCGCCGCATCCTACTGCGCTGATTGTTGTGGGTTCGATCCCCACATGGGATCGCTTTGTGTGATACACAAATTGTTGTTCTGAGTCAGGGTGTTCGTCGTGACGGTTTCATGTATGTTTCTAAAGTTATATTATATTCCTAAGAGTTGTCTTTCAATACCAATGTGTATAGTGTATATATGTGTATTGTGTGCATGTATTTGTATATATATATTTAGTATGTACTGTGTGTTGTGTAGTGTATATTTCTACACCACCCAAAGGTTGACTGGAAGAAAATTCCCAGGGCCACCAATGTCCAAAAGTGCACAAAGTTATATAAAAAATTATGTACAAAAAATTGTAAATTGCTTACAGGATCTGTACATTCAGCTAACTCTTTTTCTAACTTCAATACTTGCTCATCAATTTTATCTGTCACAAATTGATTTTGACACTTGGTAATAATAAGTGGCCTGAAATTCACACACTGATCTGGTGTTGTTGGGTTATCAGCAGGTACCTGTAAATTAATCGGTTGTAATTATCCAATTATATATCCATATCCAATAACAGGTGACGAGAGTTGTGATAGTTTTCACTGTCACTGTAATTCTAACAAAAAATAACTATTGCATTTTTCTGGATAAGAAAGAATTAAACTTATCCTTATTTTCCGAAAATAAAGATATTCATCTACCTATGGGACCTCGAAAAGACTGCTATTATAATTTATGGCAGTACTGGATTCTTTTCGCAAGTAAGTTCATTATTGTAATGTAAAATCAGGGTCCATTTAAGTGTCTGTCAATGATTTATGTATATCATTTTATACTTAGAGCTAAAAGTTTAGCAAGCTAATGTTTAATATTAGTGACACTTAAATAAAACGTATTTTTCCAAATCGTAAGCAAATGGAAAAAATGTAGTGATCCACTAATGTGTTTATATTATAATTGGTTCATTATATAAGGTTTTCATATAAAATGATAACTTATCATTATTCACAAACATTTAACAGGTGATATAGGATATTGCCTAATTTGCCTGCAGCAAATATCCATATGTATCTAAGATTTGATAATTGCAATTTAATATATAATGCATCATCATTTCAATGACCTCTTTTTTATTGCAAATCTTTTTACAATGCTATGTTAAAATAAAAAGAAACAAGTCAAAAGTCACATGATAAGCTATATCACAATACCTTGAGAACAGACAATTTATTACACATTGCAGCATACGCTTCAGAAAAGTTAGGCTCATCAATAGCTTTCTCAAACACCAGATCAATGACACCTTCTAACCGCTTCTGGTTATTGATCTCCAAGTGTTTCACTCTATCAAGCAAAGTATCAAACTTCTGGGGAGTTAACTTATTCAAAATACCCCTGAACTTCTTATACAACTCCTGAAACAAAAACAATTTGTTTACTGCAACATAAAAAAGTGCATACAACAGAGATTTTTTTTCATAGTAACTATGTACCTGCGTTCGCTGTTCTTCTTCAGTAATGTTATCCTTGCGGAATCTGGTAGGCTTCCATGCTGAATCCACCTCATTTAATTTTACTTCTTCTCTTAAAGACAATGACACATGGATAACTGGTTTATGTGGACTATTACCACCAGTATTTGGTGTTAACTTCACACTTCCCTTACCTGTAAAACAATGACATTTTTGAGAAAAAAGTTCATCTTTTAATTCATTTAATATTCTACTATAATAATAATAATTAATATTATTATGTAAGGTAATATTTGGTTTTATTGTCAAATTTTAAGGATGGCAGTATTGAGTTACATCCTTTGTTCAAATTCGCGGGTACATGATATACCCGTTAGAACTCGTTTCGATGTTTCATATAAAAAAGAAGACAGCGTAAGTGTAATATAGAACATACGGTCTTCCATAGACATAATATCGAGAATTATATAAATAAATAAGGCCAAACAGTTCTGTCCTGAAGTTGAGAATTTAAATGCATGTACAGAATGGGGAATCTCTTAGATCAAAATTACAATACAGTTAATGCAGGTTATAGAGCTTATAAAGAAGGCAGTTTGTCTTCTGACTGAGATGAGAACCTAAGAGGTGTTAATTACTGTTTGCTGTTTTATTTTTTAATTTATTGGATTGGAATAATTGGTTATTATAGTCATGGGGCCAAAAAAATATTAGATGTTTTATATTGAGTTTTTTGTTTTTGTTTGTAAATATTTAATAAAGTTGATTGCCTTTTAAACAATGACGTTTTGATTAAAGTAAAATTCTACAACAACTTCTCCAACATAGTTGTTTAAAGTTGACTTCATAGATGGTGTAGTAGTTCAAGCGGTCGGCACGCCGCTTCCTACTACGCTGAGTATTGTGGGTACTATCCCCACATGGAAAGACAAATTCTTGTTGAGTCTGGGTATTCTTTGTCTTTTTTTATGTCTGTTTGTAACGTTCCCCGCGACACTGGATATGTTCCTAACGCGGGAGTTGTCTTTACAACATAAATAAATAAAGCGTTGTCTTTCACTCCTTTTGTTGTATAATTTGCATTATGACTTTTTTTTTTCAATATAATAAACAGTTTTAATTTAAATCCTTCTCAGTTGTCTAACAACGAAACAGGAACTTATGATTCACGCGGTTCACGCGCATCAGTTCAGGTGAAAACTTAGAAATAAAAATAATATGACTTGAAATACCGAAAAGTGTGAATCACCCATATTATTGGTACTTAAACTATTAATGTATTTATTACCAAAGTATTTCATATTTCCACCAATATATGAAAACACAGTAATATTCATTCTTACCACTAGGTGTCATATTCCTTGAGTCCTTTTTAGCATCTCTTGGTATATTGTTTCTTGAACCCATACCAGCACCTTTGGCAAATGGTGGAAAAAGTGAGTCATTCATAGGCCTCAAGTTAGGTGTAAACGATGGCGGCTCTTGCATAGGTGTGGTCTAAAATAATATTAGTAGTAGTAATAAGAGTTATACATAATTTACATACGCATGCATGTCATATTATAATAGAAGTGTTAGAATACTTACCCTAATGACGTTCCATTGCTCCAATAATGGAACATTGGGTTTATTTTTAGATAGAGGATCATCTTTGATTTGCTTGAGCAAGTCAATATCATAACATTTTTTACCAGCAGTATTTAGTGGAGACCATTGATCTAAAAAAAAATAAGCATTATGAATAACTATAACTTGAAATCCTTATTACACATACTTAGCATCTATACAATATTTTCATATGTACCTTCCCCATATTTGTATTTCGGTGTGAAAATAGCGGCAGGTGATTCCTTTGCAGCTTTTTCCTCTTCAGGCAGTGACATACTAGGTGAAGCTACTTCTTCATTGGGTAATTGTGTTTTTTCTGTTTCTATATTATCTACTTTATCAGTCTCATTTTTGCCATTCTCACATGACTCAGTTTTTTCGATATTAACATCATTATGTGGCGTTTTAATTGCAGGTTTTTTCTTAGAATTTTTTGTCACCTTCTCATTTTTATTGATATCATCTTTTACAGTCTCAGTTTTAGTAACTTCGTTAGTGTTTCCGTTTGCAGAATCAGGATCTAATAAAAAATCAACAAAAAAACTGAAATCTTATTCATAATTTTATGTAGCATGGAATGGATAAAAAAAGGTTATCTATACAGAAATTCCTAGACAAGAAAAGATGTGTTCGTAATGCAAATAAACTAAGTACCTTAGTTTATTTATGTAACTAAGTACCCTTAGTTTATTTATGATAAACCAACCCCCCCCCGGTTGGTTTATTCATTGTATAGTAAATATAAATTACAAGAAATGAACTGAAAGATAAAATAAATGTATTCCATATAAATCAACTTGTAATGAATAAAGACTTGAAATGTTTCTTAGAGTTTGATAAAATGAATATCAGGACAATATTTTTTTAACATTTGTAATTATTATCAAATAAATATGATTGCTGGTGATCATCATGCCTAGATACTACACAATGCCTGTTTTCAAAGTTTTGACTAAGTGCCAAGTGCATTGGATTTATAAAATAACACACTTTCTTGAATTACTGAATAAAAATGGTGTTTATACATAGAATTAGTAAGAAGCTACCAACTTCAAATAACAAGTATAAAGAAAGCATTAGTGAATGATGCGGATATTCTTGACATGGATTAAGTCAACTGGGCATCATCTTGCCTTTTAATCATTTAATGAATTGCAATAAATAAATTATAAAAAAATAGACAAAAATATAACCTCTCAAATGTCAAAGATATGTTCCTGCTCAAAAAAAGCATACTCATCACCCACTCACACTCATCACATCCGCAATCACTGGTACTGGTAGCCTATCACCACTTTCTTAGAAAACACTAACCGCTCGACTGAAAAACCATTTTAACTTTTACACCACAGCCTTTTCCTCCAGTGCAGTCACATGGACACATTAGCAAGTATGCTGCTTGTTCATCTAATATATAAAATTCTTGTGTCGCGGTGTTTGTTACCAAACACCTCTTAAGCAGCTAGACCGATTTTTATGAAATTTTTTGTGCATTTCGGGTAGGTCTGAGAATGGTACACATTTATTTTTCATACCCCTAAATGATAAGGGTGAGCCCTAAATATTTATTTATTTTTTACTCAATTTATTTTATTATGATTTAGCAATGAAAAATACATACAACAATAATGTATGTGGCAAAACACATTTACCGGGTCAGCTAATATCACAAATAGTTGATTTAACTTAGGTCTACAATTGTATTTATCTATCTCTATGTATAAAAATGTTGTTTGACGACACAACAGTTGTGTTCTTCATTTCTCATCAATACAACCACAATATGCCACAGCAAAGGTTTGCGGGGTACAGCTAGTTTTCTATTTAATTTAACTATTGGGATTATTCAACAGTTATTTTACCAGTACCAAATGTCATTGAACTCATGCTACCTGGAAGGTGATATGACATGATTTTTTGACATCCTATTAATTTTTGCATAAAGTCTGTAAGTCAACACAAACAAAATTGAATAATCAGCTAGTGTTGTGCAATTCATGTGACATTTATCTTTTTTGTTGTGAGGGTTCTTAACCTCTCGACAGTGTCGCGTCCGCTCAGCGGACTTTGCATAAGTGCGCTTCTGTATCGAGTCCGCTACGGGGATACGCGGTAGTTGGTATGTATAGTCTGTTTTGTCGATTACTACAATTCTCGCTCTATGGTACTTATTAACAATGAACTAAGAATGAACAGGTTCTCTCTATCACATAAAAGTTGTTTGGTCTGTGGTACAAATTTTTTTGACGATCGTTTATTTTAAACTGTGACCATTTCAGTCAGTGTTTCCCGCGAACTTTTCAGTTTGTGCAACAACAAATAGTGTAATAACTTTGGTTTATTGGTCATTTGGTTTTTATTTTATCAAGTACCTACTTAATATTATACAAAAAATATATAATTTTACATCCAGCAAGGTCTTTATTTTTTATTAATTGTAAAATAAAAGATAAGTTTTAGGTGACTCATTTGTTTTCTCATAGAACAGTTGCAATGCAATTCAAAGTCAAGTGTAGTGTAAGAAATTACACAAAGTAATCTAATTCGAATATAAATTATTAATGGTTTTATTATATTTATTAATGGATTTAGAGAAAATCAGGTTTTTTAAACCTATACCCTAAAAATACGTTGTCTGTGTAAAGTCCGTTCACGGGACTCCACAGACATGAATATTTTACATTTTGACATGTCACTGGCGAGAGGTTAATCAATACTTCCATACTTATTTTATAAATGTGAAAGTGTTTGTTTAACTTTTTCAAACTTCTTTTGACAATGGAAAGCTACATTATCAGCGAGTAAGATGCGATTTTACCGCGACAACCGACATACACGCGGGAGAGTCACAGACCAAAAATATTTATAAATAATTTTTTGTATTGAAATTTATTATTCTAATAAAATAATAACAAAATTTAATCTTGAATGTGATTTAAATACTGCCCACTTGTTTTATATGATATGTTCTCTAATGTGTTTTACTAAATAATGCATACCACATAAAAAAAGTTACAAAATAATGGTGAACCAATTCACAAATTGATGATGACAATGATTTGCCAAAAATCACAAGATAAAAAATACATAAAACTTCACCTCACAATCTGAAATGTATGGGTCTGAAACGTTTACTACATTTGTCGTACAAGGGAATAATAAGAGAATTTGTCTGCTCCACCGAGTTTATCATTTTTTTTATCATCCACTCATTTTAGGGTTCTCTAGGTACAAGTTTATTAGTCTCTAGTTACAAGTACAATATCAAAAGGTAAAACTGACCATAAGTAGGAAATTGGACCCGTAAGTATATTTTTTTACACATACACTAATGATTATGAAGAGAAATAGATTTCACAGAATGGAACACAAGTATCTAAATATATAATACAAAGTTAGTCTCGAAGAGACAGCCTAATATATTTAAGCTAATATACTTACAATACTACTTCAGTTTTATTTGAGTAATTTGTTTACCTTGATCATTTACCAATGAGCACATACATATAATCTATCTTGCGATATATCCCTTAACAAATTCTACATTTCTTTGTTAGATACATAGTCTTTACGACATGAATAGCAGTAATCACCCTACCCATATAGCAGGGTGCTAAAATTATATTTCATATACCAAATACTATTCTATACTAGATAATGAAAGGCAACAGCTTTAATTACCTGCTGTAAGTTAAAGCAGCACATAGGTCACATGTGCTGTTTTAAGTTGGCTATGTTTAGAAAGAGTTTTCTCTTCTTGTGAAAAAATAATTTGTAGCAAAATAATAGCATGATAACTAATTTTAAGAGTGCAAATATAAACAAGACTAACCTGTGGCCTTGATATTAAGGTTAATATCTTTCATCTTTGTGTCTGGTTGTGTGGTGCGTAATACACTTGATATACTCTGTGTTAATTTAGCTTGGGCTTCAATCGCACTTGATGCTTCTTTAACTTCTGTTGCCTTTTGATGAGCTGAATTCTGCTCCTTAGCAACTTTCTCGATACTAGCTGATAGCAACTGCGTAGCAGTGGGTGGAGTTTCAATTATGGGCTCGCTCTTGACAACAGCTTCAATATTAGTTTCTAGAACCACAGGAGGTTTTATTTCAGGAGCTGGGGTGGATTGCTTTAGTGCTATATGCTTTTTTGTTGGTTCCACACCTATTACTTGATTATTTTGACTAGTTGAAGGGTTATTAGCTTCCGGTAAGCTACCAATTGAACTACTCACTGCAAAATTAAATAAAATGTATTAGTTCTATCATATACAAATAGCATACAAGCAAATATTGCTAATAAACTGAAAAAATATCTTTGTTAATATTTAGAAAATAACACGAGTGATTGTAACGATTACGAAAAACAGATACCTGAATTACAGTTTTCTACATTAAATGTCTTTCATGTAAAAGTAATGTGCCACTCACGAATATCAAGGTCGGATTGAAAAACTGTATAACTTATATATACACACCTAAGTCATGTAAGTATATAATAAAGGTACAACTTAGCTAAAATATGGACTGACAGTACAATCTACCCGAACACAATAAAATGTCGGTATAATTAAAATCCAAGGAGTGATTTTAATACCATGTGGCAAGCAGCTTATAAAACAGCAGCGAGAATTACATAAAATGTCTTGCAATTGATTTTTAATCTAGCCTATCACATTTTTATGAACCAAATTCGTAAATCTATAAATAGAGTTGTGAGTTATTTCCACGTGGGAGTTCTTGCACAGTACCTGAATATCAGACTTAATGTGGCACTGATACATAAATTATATCACAGTATGTTAATCCGTAAAACTTTAGAATAAATCTTCACACACCTAAAATAAGATACTACAGTGTAACAATATGGTAAAAGAAAGTCTATAAAGGTCACTCAAGGATCTAGAATATTGTCTAACTTTTAACACTATTTTCACATGAAACACATTACTTATTTTTAAAACTTAAACAAATATTTTATACTAAAGATGCTAAATTACTAAATTTAGATGTTAAAATGGTATTAATAAAAAAGGTACAAATATTTAAAACGCAGCCATACTCAAAGTGACTGTAAGGTAAAAGCCGCCATCTTGGATCGTTCCATGCGGACAAGAGGCCCGGCCCGCTAGTGTTGTGCGCAAGTGCAGAATCAATCGATTCTTTCTTTTACATGTCTGAAGTTAACTCTCGTCTGTCTGTTATATTTTACATTTAAATATGGCGCATGTTTTATTTATCACTACGACGGATAATATGAATAGAATAATAATATTTCTTGAAAACTAAAATTCTTTGTGATCAAAAGCCATTCTTTAGCGACTAGCTATTCAGTGGAAAAATATCGTTAATAGAAACCGACCAACGTTGACATGGGTTTGACATTACGAGTAATTCTATATAACTCGGCTTTTAAGTTATTGTAGGTAACAGAATTTAATGGTAAACATGTATGTGATAATTGTAATTCACGCGATAGTATGAAAGTAAAATTTTAACAGCCTAGGTTGAAGTTGTTATAATATTACTCCTTTCTACAATACAAAAACGGATACGTATTATAATGGCTGTCTTAATTTTTCTTATTTTAGTTGTACCTTATAGTTCTGTACAAAAACGAACTATAAGGTACGTTAACAATAGGGTTAACCGATGTTTTGAGGTCCCAAAGTAAAGGAGGTAGACTTCACGTCCTCAGTTAGTTGCCTTTAGCGTGTGCATAATAGGTATAATTTTTAAGTATAAAGTTTACTTAACAGATTGATTTGTGGATTTACTACAATTTCAACAATATAATGTATCTTATGCACAAGTTGTCATTTTTTTATGTAGAACTATATTAGAGCCAAAAAGCTTTATATACCCGTAACCCTATGGACTAAAGAATCATAATATTGAATAAAGTGAGTATGCACTATGCAGATTTTTCCTAACCATAAATCTTTGATAATTCTTATCTCGAAAACGTGACACTAAGATTGATTTCATTTAATATCACAACGGTGCTTAACTGATGACAACACCATTTTTTAAACGGCAACCTCAAGTTTATCTTAAAAATAATAAAATATTACTAAGACTAGCAAACAGTCAATCCTAATCAATTTTCGGTCACAATACGATATAATCACATTACAGTCAACGTTGGATGTTTAATACTTTACTACGAAAATACTTTTTGACAGTTGTGAGTTCGGGAGTTGATCAGAACTGAACTTTTATTGCAGAGCATACGCCGGAAGACTGCCCCGTGTGGGCATCTGAACGCGAGGTAATGGTCGACCAATTCCGACGAGACATTCGGACGAGACCTGTCCCCCCGTCAGCAATCATTGCTGCCATGCTGGCGGGTCAGGAGGGCTGGAGCGCAGTGGTCTCTTTCTGCGAAGCTGTAATGCTTCAGAGAGACCGCTTAATGGGACCGGGAGAGGGCCGATCCCGAGCGTAGAGGACGTCGGGGCGGGGCCGCAGGCTGCCAGAGAGTAGGGAACTCTGGTGGCCGATTAATTAGTGGTGGGCGATTTGCGATCGAGCCCAACACATATTGATTAGGCTGATAGGCGGGAGGAACTCTGCTTTTACCGGAATAGGGCCTGGCTAGGCGCGGCGTCGATCCGGTGGTCCTCCCCAGAGCAGGGCGCCTAAGAACGGCTGTCGGGGTGGTTTTTAGTGGAAACACCACATTCTCCTGGCCCCGAGGAGACGGAGATCCGAAGGGATTTTCCACCCCGTCAGTAAAAAAAGGCTAATCAGCATAGAGCAAATCTTACCAAACAAATTAATATTGAGCAGTCTGTTGTTAAATTGGTTAACTATTTAAGAAATACGTACATGTTTTTTACTCATTTTCAGCTTGCCTTTTTTTTTATCTAGTCCGTCTAATAATGATAACTTTTTTGAATTGGTTTTGAAAAGCAAAACGTATATCCACTTCCGATCTCCTAACACTTTATTTAGTATATTTACATCGCTTGAAGATCTTAAATGTTTTAAATCTAGAGTAGTTAAAAGACAATTTCGACACTGTCGTGTATCTGAGTAATATTCGACAAGAAAGGATATAACCTTAAAAAGTTTTCTCAGGGATAATTTTTTAATTTTTTAGACCATTTTTTTAAAGAAGTTAATGCCATAGGAGGATCTTATCAATAAAACCTGATATATTGAACTGATGCAACTGCACTGTTTGTGTAAGTGAACTGTTTTCAGTGCTATACCATCAGCGATCCTTTACATGTGCACAAAACAAAGGAAATCTAATAATGGATGCAAGGCGTTCTAGATATTATTAATTTATGGTACGAGAGTGGTTCAAACGAAACTTACTTCTTCAAACTATTTGGAAATCTCTTCATCTGTTGTGTCATATGTTTGTCTTTTACACTTGGCCTGATAGAATTATAGTTTACGAGTACAAGTGATAGGTACTTCAAGCATGCTGCAAATCTCTGCCATGTTTAAAGTTGTCAATCACTTGTCACAAATTGAAAAAAATACATTGGAAGATGCTTGTATTAATAAAAAACAGCTTGCAAAACAGATTGGATAAGATCCCGCTGCAGAATTCCTACATTCATCAAGTATTCAATCGAAATCTCATTTTTTTTATCAGTTGTAAAAGGGGAAATGTTTTAGCCGGGTTGACTATTAAAATGTGCCAGCTAGTATTTTTAATCAAAATAAATAATATGGGTTGATTTTTGGGAAGAAATTTTGTTTACCTGTTATTTAAACAAACTGCCCTCTTCTTCATAGACATATCTGTAGGGAACTTAAAAAGTGATAGTTGCCATTGCTCACTTGCCCGCAACCTCTTCGTAGCCAGGTGTAAGCAGGTAATATTTTGTAACATTTATACATTCATAAAGTATATGTCAAATTAAAGGAATTTTCTGTAAACGATAAACTATAACTCCCTTTTTAAAACTGTCTATAACTAGTGTTGACAGCTGTTAAAGATATGTAATTCAAAGTGTTAGAGAGTAAGCGCGACTTTTCATTCTTTTGTATTAATAAGATTCACATTCGACAAACTGTAGGTTTACATATGAAATAAAACCCATTATCAAAAATAAAAAATTGAGTACACAATTTTGATGAGCCAATGACACTGATATCTTAATAATTTTATTAGGTAATTTGCACAAATTTTCACATTCAAATATTTGGTTGGCAAACAGAACATCAAATAGGAGAAAACGTAAAGTCGAAAATTGAACGGCATTGTCAACAAAATTAGGTCTAACTTTGTGTTGCTCTGCCTGCTCATGCATACACAAGCTGCGGACTATACAGCTGCAATACAGGCAAAGTAAGGCCCTATAATATTTTGTTAAACACCCGAGAATCCAAGAAGTTTTCGCGCCATTGACTGATCCAAATGACATTGTTGATGAGAGCAAAACTGTAGTAGTTCAAGAGCTACATGCCTTATGTAAGATTTATGTATGATTTTCAAAATGTAAAGGATGGTACTGGCAGATTTATTAAGACATATGCTACAAAAAACACAGTTTTGTTTTGGAAACAATCATAGGCAACACATTCCATTAGGCTGGAAATCTTTAAAACATAAATTATCGCGGACGATTTTTATTAATTCAATGTAGCTAAATGCTACTGAGTCGAACTGTATCAAATTTAGTGTGTAAGATAATGGCTGGATTCTAGATAGTTATCTAAAACCAACGTTGTTCAAACGACCAAGCAAGTTGAAAGTATGCTATATTAATCTAAAACAATCGTACTGATAATGATTCAAATCGTTGTGACCATGAAAGTGATAGCATCAATGAAAGTGAGAACAGTAATAAATCTGAATAAATGGTACAAAATTATCGGTGTGTTGACGGATTGAGAATACGGAGTGTCACCACCCCTATTCATCCAGTGGGTGTCGTAAGAGCCGACTAAGGAAGCTTAACACTGGACAACTTAATAGCTCTGCAAAGAGAAAGGAAAACTTAACAGACCCTATAACAACCCAGCCAGCGTGGCATAGTAGGCCAAAACCTCCTTTCTAAGGACAGGCCTATGTCCAGCCAGTAGACCTCTGAAGGCTGGTAAGGGTGAAACAAAATTAATTTGAGATTGAATTATTTAATATTTAATTTCATTTTTATACTTCAAATTTCTTATTAAATAGTTGATAAATTTAATAAAAATCTTAAATAAATGATTTTTCATGTTTGTAGAACTTAAAATGCAATCACATTAATTAGTTAATATTTTTTTTTGAAATTCGCGTCAATTAGTGCTGGCGCCCTAGGTTGAAAACACTAACGCCGCTAACCGACGCATGCACAATGGCTTCTAAAACTCGAGCAGCTGCTCGCTATCCTTGTCAAACAAATGATGTAGCGCGCTAACTCTCTTTCACTCTGAATTAATATTTAACAGCTGGCAACACATAGTTGCCAGCATTTTTGAATAGGCAGATATAGTTTCTCATTTAAAGAAAAAAAATAGCTTTAATTTGACATTTAATTCATGAATGTACGTGACGCACGTATACTCGTAAATGTTACAAAACATTACCTGCTTACATCTGGCTGAAGAGCCTGCCGGCCATGTCAGCAATGGAAACTTTTAAGTTCTCTACAGATATCTCTATGAAGTAGAGTGCATTTCGTTTAAATGACAGGTAAACGAAATTTCTTTCCAAAAGTCAACCAATTTTATTTTAACTAAAAATACTAGTGGACACATTTTAATAGGCAACCCGGCCAAAACATATTTCCCCTTTTATAACTGATTTAACAATGTGATTTTGAGTGAATACAAGATGCACTTAGGAATTCTGCTTTGATTTAGATTTAAGATCTTTATTTTCACAAGAATATGGTTTTAAACACTTGGGGCTAGCCCAAGTGTTTTTTGAATGTCTAATAAATTTATTTTAATAAATTATATTTAAGTAAAGGGGAAGTAAATATAAAGTAAAAATAATTTTCAGTGTAATTTCTTACTCTTTAACTCGTAATTTCTAAGTATCCTGGCAAAGCACTACTTCTGACTGGAGGATTTGCTCCTATTAAGTAATTATTTAATCTTGTTGTACAACAGGATTAAATGGTTACTTTATTAGTACAAACTAACAGCTACTATAGTTTAAACTAAAAACCAGTTTTTAAGCATTTAGGAATATCTTGAATTTGTAGTCTATTAAAATATATGTATATACACATTGAACAATGACAATTTTATGCCATGTTGCCCAATCGCTAAGTACCCTGGATGTACCATAGAGGATGCTCACGAATCAAGATATTATACTGAAGCACAGTTAACATTACACATTGGGTCTCTTTTTCTACTTCTGATTTTATTTTTAAATACGCTCCTATTAATTTCTATAGTACAATAGCGTTAATAGTTTTTTATGGCCTTTAAGGGGAGATAGATAGTAGGCCCAAAACCTCCTTTCTAAGAAGAAGCCTATGTCCAGCAGTGGACTAGTAAAGGCTGTGATGTGAATGGGAGATATACATTTTTCTTTTTTGCATTTTCTTTAAGTTTGAGGGCTTTAGAATATCTCCTCAAAACAGCAAGGCAATATCTATAATAAATTTAATTAATAATAAATTTATAAATAAATTAAAATGAACTATATTGAAAATATGTATTTCTAAGTCTTGTTTTTTAAAAATTAAATTCTACCAGGAATTAAGTAATAACATGGCCTTGTTCCTTGCCACATCGCTACACGATTATGTATTACACTTTTACTATCACTCATATAACGACAACGACCATCATTCTATCATCAGCGATATCTGTAGCATATTTTCCCCTAGATTTACATGATAAGCTCCAATATTCAGCCTTTTTATCTTAAACAGGTATAGGCATAGTGGTATGGTTTCTTCAATGAGATAGCGGCATTATTACTCACTATTTATACGAACCATTATACATAATCTGATACACATAGTTTGTCAAATGTATAATGTAATATTTTTAGACAAATCAGATTACTTACAGCAATGTTACTCGCCTACTTTTAGGAGGGCACTCCCAAAGACCGGCAACGCATTCGTGGCTCTTTAGTTGAATTATCCATGGGCGGCGGTAGTCAGGTTATCATTAGATGACCCGCCTAACCTTTGTGCCTTTATAACGTATGAAATAATTATTAAGTAGTCACTTACCTATTGACGGTGTAGGTCCATTAGGTTTAATGGACGAGGCACGGTTCTCTTTATCCTTTGTTTCTATTTCTTTAGCTTTTTCTTTATCTTCTGATTTGAGTCTTTCCCTGGGTTCCCTTATTCTCTGTGGTTGAGGAGCGGGCATAAGGGTAGGCACGGGCGTAGGCGTTATAATTGATGCAGTGGTTTGCAAAGGTACAGGCACTGTAGACGCAACTACTGTTGCGGTTGCGGTAACTGGCGCTACCGTTACTATTGTTACGGGGGCAACATTTATATTATCCGAAGGCTTTTCTACTTCATCGACTTGAGGCACATGTCTGACTTGTTTAAAATGCTTATTAGGTGGTACATTCTTATTTGTATCTAGAACTAAAGACTGCACAGTCTGATCACTATTTTTTTGGAGTTGCTTAATGTTTGTAGTCATTTTAGGCACTATAACAGGACTATCTGATATTGCTGACACTATAGGCGTTTCGCTAGATTCTGCAGCAATATCAGGTCCCAGATTCTTATTTTCATTAACAGTTAATATTTCAGACTTTACTATATTATTATTATTAGAGTTTAATGAATTTGGTAGAGTTTGGACAGAACTAGATGTCGAGGTCACAGGGGCCTCCACGGTCTTAGCTACATAATTCGATTTAATCGAGTTATCACATGAAGGTTGATTGGCAGCTTCGTTGACCATTCTATTAAACTGTTGGGCGATGCTGTGTGTTGCTTCCTGTTTAAAAAAAATAACAATTAGCCCAATAGCACACTTGGGATCACACCCGAGTTATCATTAGTTCGCCAAATTACATCGTAAATCGTCACTTTTTAAGCATGTATAGATACAAGGAAAAGATTGACTTTATATTGCATGGCAACACACCTATGAAGTTTTCGGTATTATGTATCAATAATTATCTTTTATAGTATCAATAACAAAAATAGTAACCAACTTATGAGAAATTGCTTAGAAAAGACCTGTCAGAAGGCTTTCAAACGCTTCGTAATAAAAAAAAGTAAAAGCAATTACAAAATTAGACTACTGCTAAGGATGATAAGGGGTTTACTGGACTAGGACTAGTGGAATCATATTAGAAATTAAGTAACAGATACCTTGAAATCTATTACGCAATTAAAAATCAAAAGGTTTAACCGATTTTAAAACCTGGAAACACTGTTCGTCCTTGTCTATATCTATCGACTACCCAAGCCTTGAACAAGGTTCTATCTACCTCAGTACTCCTCTATCGTATTCTATAACAAAATAAGCAAATTGTAATTATGTATACTTGTTTATTAATACAGTAATACTTACTGCTGTGGTGTTTGTCGATCGTTAGCTTCGCTGCTTAAAAAATTGTTGTCGTTTGTATACAACTCCGAGAATATATCTTGTTCTGAAAGTGCAGAATGTGTGTTTAAATTAGGCATTTAATATGAAATTAAATTATTAAAAGTGTTAAAAGTTCTGAAATGTTAGATACTTTTCAAAATTTATTTATACTTACGCGTTTGGGGGTCAATAATCGGTACTCTGTGACTTCGTTTTTGGTGTGGCTGGCGTATACCTGAATGAACATCAACTGTAATACAATAATCCAAACAATTCACTAAATATGACAAGAAATTATAATAAATACAATTTTATCATCCAAAACAGTTATAAATAATTAGTTTTGTTTGGAAATTAAGAAATTGTTAGTTAAAAAGAAATTTTGAATATTAGTTTGCTCACTGAAGCCTGCCTGTTGCCTACTGTCTGAGCCACGTCGACATTTTATATTAACCTCATATCTAAACTTGTTTTAGGTCCTATCTACTTATTCCTAACTTTTCACTTGGCACCTACGTGTTCTTCAAGGCATTAATAAAACAACTATAAATATTTACCTTGATTATGGAAAATTTAACATTGTGCAGTCACTTATGCAGACGAAATTTATACCACAATAACTGTAGATTAATTTTACTTTACAATTTCAAAGTCATATGTCCAAGGAAAACCGTTTGTATTATTTTATACTCCGTTACAAACAGGCATATGTACACGTGTAATGTAATGTATATGTTGTAAGGATAGTAGAATCATGAAAAACGATATAAAATTTACAAGCCTACAGATAATTTAATAATTTTGACTGCTCTACAAAAAGAAGAAATTTGGATAGTGACACACTGTTCCCAATGGATAGAAAAATAATATTTAAGCGAATTTTGAAATATAAAATTTTTATCTGAATTTAATGTTTGTGACAATAATTAAAATAAATATAATTTTTATGTTAAGTAAATTACAAATGCCATTTTTGAAATAGACATTTGCGGTTTGCTATCTATCGCTCTATAGGTTTGAAGACAATATCAATTTCTACTTTAGAAATAACCACTTAGCAGGTAGATTATATTATATAAAAAAAAACCGACACGTATTATAAATAAGAAATAATCTTATGACGTAATAACGGTTTATTCCACTATGTTCACCTAGGTGATAACACTCAGGTGAAATAAGTGAAATGACGAAATCAACTTTATTCACCCGGGTGATATCACCCAGGTGAATAAAGTTGATAATCAATATCCATAATCGCAGGTGAAATTGCGAGGACGTTACAATTTCTAGATTATATACCTACATTCTACTTCACTACTTGGAAATGTAAATGTGGAATGTTGTTAAAATGTTCAATGTAAATACAATGTTAAACGATTGGGTATCTACATACTAAACTATAAACAATTATCATAAGTAGTGTCGATTCTTCGCCTTCAACTGTAGGAAAATGTGTCAGTATTAAGATTTTCTGCTCTATAAATAATTACTTTCTTAAACTTTATTTCAATTGTTGAAAATTGTGGTATGGTAATGCCTCAAATTGTTTTAAAATTATAAAATTAAGATTATGATCAGATAAATATTATGCATTATTTTTTTAAACTTACCTAAGAAGAGTGAATTTTATGTCCAATTATTGCAAGTTTGTTATTTACAGTTTAATTTGTCTCTTATCTTGTAAAGTTTGAGTAGACAAACATTGAGACTTAAACCCAGACCGTATGTTTATGCATGTGTCTCTGACAGCATACATAGAATAGAGAATATGAATTCCAGACAGTATAATGATAGTACTGATACTGTAAAAGTTACTTAATCAGATACCACACAGGGTTATTTTTTGGAATTAAGTGTTTTAAAATAACTTATTTGCTACATAGACTTTTTATATGATAAATATAATAAATTTGTATATAAGGTAAAGAAATGTTTAAGTTGATGTTGGTCTACATCACATGTGAAAAAAAGCTCAATCAGAGAGACATCTTTTATAAAGTAATAGGTAACGTAAATAAGATGAATATCTTTCTAACTGATTTAGAAGTTATATCTTAATAATATTACATAATAGTCAATGATTACCAGGCATAGATTGGTGCATTAGTGTAGACGCTGGAGGGTGAGTAAGCGTGGAAGTGGGCGCAGTGGGGGTGACAGGTGTACCCTGTGGTCCCACCAATGTAGTGGGATTACTCCTACCGCCAGGGGTGGTTCGCTGGTAAATTTGGAGTTGGCAGCTGAGGACTGTTTGAAGTGTAGTAATCTGAGAAAAAAAAATAATTGATTATTCTGTAATATTTATTACAAAACAGTTAAGATGCTTCTGTATTTATGTTTATAGAACCAATTTAATATTTCATTTTAATAAATTATTAGTTTAAAGGGAATCATTTTGTACGTCAAGTAATATTAATAATAAATAATTATTATTAATATTTAGTTAAAAATATTGGTACATTCCAGTACATTTGTAAACTTCTAAATATAAACAACTGTACCCTGCCACAATGTGCTGTAGGCATTGTGGTTGCATTGATGAAAAATAGATAAAACAATCTTATTAGCGGGTTGTATATCAGTCAAAATTTGAGCTTGATCAATGCATAACTTATTGAGACTAACACAATCCAACTTTACATTTATATATAATTGAATAGTAAAAGCTGTCACAGTGAATTACTCAAGGGAAGAAAAAATTACTGATATAATATTTAATTGTTTTAAAGTTTTTTTATTGAGGTAATTTTTGTTTTTTTTCGTCAAATGGATGACTAATCATTCACTTTCAAAGAATATGGTAAATGTTATACATACATGGTGCAGAGTGGCTCGTCGGATTATTGTAGCCTATGAAATGTCCCATGTGGTATGGATAGAACCTATGAAATAAAAAATAAGATTATTACCTGTATTATAAGAATGTCGGCTTCCCTAAATCTATAGACACAATCTCAGGAGACTTTATGAATTGACTCAAATTTATATTACATTTTTAATGCTCTTTTGGATCGCTTATTTTCAAACTCTTAATCAAAATTAAAAACAGTAGCATTTATATACGAATTAGATGGCCATATTTTTCGCTTGAAGTTGCTTTGCGAGCTTTAGATGCTTCATGTCTCTATAGTTGCAATGGACTGCAGATATCACAAGTTTCTAAAAAGTCTCGTATACTTTTTATCTTGAAAATTGGCTATTGAGTTACTGACACACTTAAAACATTGTTGAAAAAAGCATATATTCCTAATTATCATAAAAATGAACACTTCATTAAGAAATATTCAAGTTTTTTAAATTCCTTATTATTTTTTGGTTTTTGAAGATTTAAGTTTGAGACTAACTGATATAAACAGTAAAAAGGACTCGCATATTTATATTTATTTATTGATACAACTTTATGTACTTTTGGTATAACGAGCGTACTCAATATCTTGGACGCCATTACAAGTCAACCTTGGCGTGTTACTTCACACAGTAACCTTGTAATATAGGTGTACAGAGGGTACATTTGGTAATCGATGAAAATAAACTTTTTCAGAAATCAATTAACTCATAAAAATATTGACAAACTTAGAATATAAAGTTATTGTTCTTTAGACTGGGGCTGTTGGTCTATAGTTAAACCGCCGTAAGCTTGGCCCTCCTGATGGTTTGGGGGACGCGGGGCGGGGATGTATTCAACCAATTAGCTAGTGCGTCGCTGTCCGCCGGCAGTGACTGACGTGAAAGCATGGTTGTACGTGTTATTTTTCTTAAGACTGCTACACACGGTATTATTTTGCAACATGGATAATCTGCCGACACTGCGTCACAAAAAGATTTAAAAACTTGAGGTTCGGCTTACAGAGGTTCTAATGTTAAAGTTCTAATAAAGAATGTTTATTATTTTACTTAATTTTTAAATTGTATCTGAATATAATTTACATGATGAAGAAAAGGTGATTTTATTACAATTATTTTACAGTATTAAATTTTACAATTAATCATAAGAACTTACAATACACTGACATTATAATACATGGAAATAAATTCTATTTTTATTACATCGTGTGTAGATTAAATCTCAAACAAATAAATCTGAAGATATCGAGTTAGTACATCGTGTCATGTATAGCCGAGCGCATCACCCGCCCCGCGTCCCGCAAACCATCAGGAGGGCCAAGCTTACGGCGGTTTAACTATAGTGGTTAGTGATCCTGCTGCTAGAGGTCGTGGGATCGATTCTCACACCTGACAAATAATTGTGTGATGAGTATGATCATTTGTTCTGTGTCAGGGTGTAATTTATCTTTAATATATTATTTATGTAATACTATATTTAAGATAAATTACATATAAATAAACATACTTAGTTTGTTTATCAGCAGTCTGGTAACTATAGGCTCTGCCTATTTTGGGTAGAGACTGCAGTGCGTAAGATATGTAAAATTACTATTTCTGCTATAATGCTAGATTTGTCCAAGCTTTATTATTGACAACGCTTTTTTTGTAGCCAAAATAATCGATAAAGGATTAGTTAGAGCTTTTTCATTTTATAAAACAATATTTTCGAAATATCATTTTTTAAAGAATTTATTTTCAAAATAGTATTATATTAGAGAGTAAACTTCAGCGTAGTTAGAACAACTTCTTTTCTCTAATCTAAATGATTTCTTAGGAAATGTGACAGAGTATAAAAGTGACTACCTATATTTTGCAAATCCGTAAAAATGAGTTTTTTTTAACTAAATTGAGGTTTTTTTTCTACAATCACATGACTGAATGAATTTATTAAATAGAATCAGGTTCAATGTAATAAAACTTATTACATTTTATTAAAGAAAAAGCACAGACACGCACATTCACGCTTTTGAGAAGCGCGACTTTTAGCACCTTTTTAGAAGAAATTTACAATGAACCGGCGCCATTGCTTACACGGCTTCACACTCTCATCAAGTTAATAACACCTCCTACTTGCAATCTGATACAAAACAAGGGAGACATGGCGTGCGTACGAGAATTAGACAATGGCAAGCGCGTCATCAGTACATCGCTTACATGAAATCTCAATTTAAATGTAAAAGTGGGAAGTTTACTTTGATCGTACGTAATTAATAAGTACAACTTAGTAAAAAAATTATTGCAATACAACCTCAAGCAATTTCTTAATGTTTAACCTACGCAGCCATTATAGTATTATTTATTACTACGAGTTAGCACACAACACTGCACTTACCCTGCTGGCGTATTGGAACGAGGTTGCTGGTAAGTTTGCATACCCATTGGCGTCGGTTGGAACACTATCGTCGGGTACATGACTGGTCCGGCTGCCGTAGCAGCAGTACCGGGAATGTATGATTGTTGCTGGCTGCAGCAACAGGAAAAATAATAAATAATGTAATGGTTTTAAAGAAACAATGCAAAGATTAGCGAACTTTTACAGAAAGTACAATTGTAGACTATCAAAATAAATCTTTTCGCTTAACTATCCACAGTTATTTTACACTCACCTTTGAAAATAGTTATTCGTTACTTTATAAAATCTTGTTTAATAAAGCACCAGGTTGCACTGGCCGTGGTCTCACAGGCTGGAAAGTGCAACCTAGTCGAAACGTCATGCATTTCAAAGGTATGTGTGTACTTAATACACACTAGTATGTAGTTTCCCGTAAACAATGCTTATATATCGTGGAACGTGATAGTTTAAAAGTCACTTTATTGCTTTCCTACACACCTAAAACAATGATAGCCAATGACAAAAATTATTATCTAGATGGAGATTTTTGAAATACCGTGTATGTGTGTTCGGCCTCGTGTGTTGGGTCGCCCTGTATTGATAGTTAGTAAACTGTGGTCGAGGCTGCGGCGTCTGGTTCTGCGAAACATAACTATGGCCAGCCTGGAAATAAACCATATGCAAGTAAATATTTAAATGCTTTGCAACATGTGTTTATCTTAAATCACTGCGAAAGTACAGAATATTTTTGTTTTAGTATAGGTGTACATAGTTCAATTTTAAAATGTCGTTTGAGGTTTTAGGACATCTTCAGGTTTTATACTTCAGTTTTCACGTTTATAAAATTCTGGGCATTAAGACTACTCGGTTTTTCAGATTAATAAATTCGTTGAACAGGTACGTACCATGGTCGTCTTTGACAGGTCTTGTTGAGGTGCCGGCGGTGCCGATGGCTGCGGTGTTGGTTGAACTCTTAGAGTTGCTTGCGCCGAGGGTTGCGCTCCTCCGGCTGTGCTTGTCATGTATGCAGCCCCGGGGGCGCCGGTAGGGTGGTAACATTCCACCGGTCCTGAAAGTAAATCACATACAATTTATAACGTCACGTCCATTTTTTACCGTATAAGTATTTAATAGTCCTGGTTTAAAAAACCATGCTCCACTTTCTTTGTGAAAACTCACTGTGTGGTGTTGACGCCCGTGGATAACTGTATCTCGCTAAGGAAATATTTTCGTGAAATATAATATTATATACTGTAGGTACGATATGGACACTTGGTATTTTAATAGCAAATATAAACGAATAAACTTTTAGTGAAAACAATTCTTTGTCAATGTTAAGATAATATTACAATATAGCTAAAAGTAACTAATAACAATACACTAACACGGTAAACTGAAACTGAATTACGAGGAAAACAGATTATGTATTTGAGAAGATTAATATTTCTAATGAATAAGAGACTTACTAGCTTGCGATAATAGACGATAATGATGCGAAGGCAGCATGCAATTAGAGTTAGAGTACCGTGAAGAAGATTGTTCATGTTTGTTTGAGTTAGTATTACTTTGCTGCGGTATAAACTGTAGTGAAACATTGTTCAAGGATTGCAAATTAATTTGATTCGCATTGATATGCTGTGCCACTGCTGATTGTGGCATATTCAATGATGTTTGTAAACTTTGCGAAACATCAATCGTACTCTGTTGTGACGGATGGCCATGGTTGACACACGCATGTGACAATGTATTTAGAGAACCATTTGTTCCTCTTAATGCCACCATTTTAATTTCATGATAAAAATCTTTTAGAAATTGAATTAGCCAAATATTGAACCATTCCCAAAACAATGGAGACACGATCATCGGCATAGGGTTATGTATTAACTATATCATCTCAGGTTAGAAGGACACGAGATGTGTTATAGACGAGGTTTAGAAGTGCATTTGTATTGCTTGTGATAACTAACTTAGGCTAAATATATTAATTTAATATTAATCACAGCACCGAATTGTGGGTTCGATATTTAAAAATATTGGCACAACTCATATTGTTTAATTATAACTCGATGCAGTCCGCATTCACATTTAAAGGGTAATTTAATGCAGCATAGAGAAAATCGATAAGCACACGGCGCGCTACATGCTACATCGCTCAACACTCGCACTCAGATATATGTGCCAACATGACACTTTCACGTTACTATCTTTAATAGACGCAAATTCGTACAAACATTACTAGCAATCTACTAATTAATATATTCTTATTAATAACAGTGATCAATGTCGGAAAACCGTCTGAGAGGATATCGCACCAATGGACATTTTTTATATGTTTGAAGTGACAGAATGAAAGAAAGAGACAAGGTTATATCCAATGCTACAGTTTTGGGGCGTTCCCAGACGCCCATAGTTACCCCCGTAATCTGGTCGATGTTGGCAAGGACCGAATTATACACCGTCCAAGGCAGCCCATATTCCAATCACAAAAGGAGGGTTCACGAATACAACTAGCAATGGATAACGAACTGAATGTTTCTGACAAGTGTACAGCTATACAAGAACGTAGTTAGGGTGAACGTAGTTTTTTGGGAGTATGTTAGGGTTGCTATTTTCAAATAGCTTTGCAATGGAGTACTAGTGATACGAATCGATGAATGCATTTGGTAGATTTTTTGATACGATATATATTCTGATAATTTGTTTCAAGTTTATTTATTGGTTTGAATACCACATAGCTCCTTTGTGCTCTCACTGAGGATGAAAAGATATAGACATATAGTAGTAGTAGTATACGTGTAGTTTTTTTGATAAAAATATCTAGGAAAAATGTTTTAGGTGATCTTTGTAATTTTTTTTCTACATATATATTTATTTGATTTTGGAAAGTGGATTTGAAGTACATCACTGAATGGAAGTATTTTAAGAACTACAAAATTGAGCTTGTTGTTCGGAATAAACACGCTAAAATTTTCTAGGAGCCATGGAGATGAAAAAACTCGATTTTCAAACAAATTGTATACAATTACGAAAAACTCGAATCGATGTTAGAGCCAAAAGTTTAGCTTATATGTATTCTCCGAAAAAAATCCTGAACTAATCCAGTTTTATAATGTTTAGCATTTTTTTTCCCAATATACAAATACAATTCAAACTTCGTTTTTTAAAATAATATAATATGAAATTACTAGCGGTACCCTGACACGCTTCGCTACAGAGCAATAAGGAACTAAACTGACATGAACCGAAGTTTCGGTTTCAGTTTCGACCAAGAAATGTGGTTGCGGTTTTGGCCGCTTTCAGCCGCGCCGAAACTCAGTGTTTTTTTTTTGGGCGTCGTTCGGTAAACTTAGCCGGTAACTAGTGGCCATCGGCTCTGGCTCAGTTCGCTGCGTGACCTGCAACTTAAGAGTTACCAGTGCATTGCCGCCCTTTCAGTCCCTCCCCCCAGAATCAGGAGAATTTTTTTGTTTGTAGATAGTTAATTATTGTTGAATTACATTCTGTCTCCCTATTTAACCATTTTTATCCATCGAAAAAATGTAATCTTTAGATGCTTAATCACTGCAAAAGAGGGACATACAAAACCCCTCGAATATTGAGTAGGGTTGTCCAAGGTTGCTGATTATCATCAGTAGTATTTAATACTGTTATAAATATATTAATAGATAATATCGCAACACACGAAAAGAAATGGGGCTTCCGGTTTTAAGGTCAATAGAAAATATACGGAATCCATCTTACATTCGCAGACGACCTCGCGATCCTCACACGTAACCCGAAGCAGTGCCAAGAACTACAGCGTAAGGTGGATGACTTCTGTACCTGGACGGAGGGAATGAGGACAAAACCCAGCAAATGCTATTGCCTTTGTCTGGGCCGGCGAGGTACCAGATATACCTCATATGACCCCGGGATTACTATTGGTGAAAGTGGTTCAATCATATCAGAAACCATGCCCTTTAAGAATTCGTTGGAAGAAAGATAGACTACAAAGGTCGTATTCCATCTATGAACGCAATAGTCGATGACTTTCGCAAAAGACAAGGTAGACCAACAGGCTATAAGTAACGTAAAAAAGCTTGGATTTACTACAACTACTTAACATCACGTCTCAAGTGGCCGTTTCTGGTATACGATATAAACCAGAACCACTTAAGCATACTGGACGCGAAAGTCACTAAGACATTGAAGTCGTGGCTCGATCTAGCAACATCTGCAGACCCGTCAACGTTGTACAGGGGCTCGAATACCTTGGAATGAAATTAAAAAGACCTTCGGAACTTTACAAACACCTACGAGTTACCAAAATGCATCCTTTCTCAAAATCACAAGCCGAAATCGTTCAAATGACAAAAATTCATAAGAGCTACGGCTCCAATTCCACAAGAAATTCATAGTGGGTACGCAGTTCTACTGAACTGCTGAGTTGGACTGGGAAATGCTAAAAGACAGACCGACAGAGATAACAAAATCTTTCCTACAACAAAATGAAAACGAGACCCACAAGGTGCACGCAATGAACCTAGAAAAGCAGAATGAACGGGTAACTCTAGGAGAATTCTGTATAACGTATGAAATGGCGCACACTTTTATACGATTGCCCACCAGCCCTGTTAAAATTTTACCTCGACGCCTTTCAATTGACCGCTCCCCGATCAAAGCAACCTAGTAAGGTTGAGAAAAGCTACAAAAAGGCTTGTACGATGTGCAGTGCGGAAATAGGTACAGCCATGCACTTACTGACAGGTTGTAAGCTTCTATTAGACCGGGGTCATTATTCACGTCGCCATGATGGGGTATTACAAATCATACGCAGCTATAAGGTTATCGCTGGCGAGAGCGAAAAAAAGGAATAACAACAATTATAAGAACTAACATCGCGTTTGAAAAGGAAGGCTCAACAAAAAAGACTTCACAAAAGCCGACTCAATTATAACTACCGCCAGTGACAGGACATTATTAGTGGACACGTATGAATATCATAAAAGAACGAAAGTGTTCTTTAAATATGTCTGAAATATGTCTAGAAATATGTCTGGTCTGGACAGACCAGACATATTTCTTTATGCAATTTCAGTTAAGCATGTAGTAATAGTAGAACTCACGGTGCCGTGGGAAACGAACAGCCCTAAAGACCAAGCTTTAAATAAAAACAAATACTTAGACTTGACCAACGAAATGACTAAAAATTTTAGGTTATGTCGTTACGTTGTATGCCGTGGAAGTTGGTGTGAGGGGTATACCAGCTAAATCAATCCATAAACCTGCTTAAAGACCTTGGATTGCCAAGAGCTTCAGTAAGTTATTTTCTTAAACAAATATCCAAAGCGGCATTGCTAGGCTCGTATCAAATATGGTTAGGTAGAGGGGGTAACACAGCAGACAGTGGAGGTGAGCGCTGACGCGTCGGAGTACTCAATAAACCTATACCTGGTTCGCAAGTCCCAGATGCTGTAGAAGTCACATGTTTTGCCCCCATCTATCACGCGATGGACCCGGCATCCGCACGGTGAATCCATGGCACGCTAAGAAATAGGTCTTAACTATAAGAAAACGTATAGTCCGTTCAAATTACCTAGTCAGCCACCTCGACCCGTCCTTTCCCACCTCTCGGGTGAGGTACCTGGTTAATTTAGACAGGTGAATTTCTAGTATTTAGTAGCTAGCTACGTTTTTTTTTTTATCTACCTATCTAAATACATTTAGAATTGATCCTGTGTGTCTACCTTATTACAGTGGTTTTAGTTTGTATGTAGGCAAGCAAATAAAATGCTAAAAATACACTAGATTTCAGTATACAGTCGAAATTTTAAAATGATGGTTTGAGTTTCGGTTTCAGACGAAACTAAAACAAAGGCCGAAAGTTCGGTTTCGGCTGAAAAACGTATTTCAGTCGGACAATGATAAAAATTGTTATTGACGCGGGTTGTAAATCTTGGGGTCAATTAATAGCGAACTTTTTGAGTTTCTGAAGTGTACACAAAAGTAGATAAATTTCTAAGTTTGTTACTTTTATTCCAATAAACTAAATAAACAATCCTATTCTGCTAACTATGGTGTTTTAGGTTAAGTTTACATGACCGCGCAGTACCAGATGTTCAGAGGACTCCGGGCGCCTTAGACGCTTTCGCATGTAAAATAAATATTAGAGAAGAAGCAATTTGAAACTTTTATAATTAAGCCTTTAATAGAAGATAACATTTAT